CACAACGTGACGGGATCAATCAATGTGTGTGTAGGTAGTGAGTAATTGATCTGCAGTCACAGGGTATTGTTGAAGTTAACGTTTGTTCGTTATAGTGTTTGTTTTAGCGCGAATGTTGAAATTAAGTGTATCGTAAAGTTATATTCAGAAAGAATAAACCAGTTTTATTAAGTAAGGACTTGTGTCGCTAAAGTTTCGTCCGAACGAAATTACGGAAAATTAACTAACGAACGGAGACGTAACAATATCATGGGCGTGGTAGATGTGCAACTACAGCTTTAAAAGGTTAAATCGTCCCATTTTCCCATATATTATAGTATTTAAGTAAGTAACATTGAAATTTCAATATTCTTTGTGACTAGCAAAACCAGGATCGATTTTTTTTCAAATTTTAAAAACTCATAAGTAAATACAAAGAATTGTAAAATCACGTAAGTACATACGAAAAAAGTTAAACAAACAGTAACAATTATACAAATATTCTCAAAAGAGATTTGTATAAAACTACCTCAGTAACTTTAAATAATGATAATGATAATAACAGTTTGTTGATCGGTAGTTTGTGTGACATTATATCACAATAAAACTGATAATAATTTTCTACAAATCTTTCTTTACTGGCTCTGTGTTACGGGTTTTTAGTAAGAAGAAACATGACAGCATTTCGCCCATACATACATTAAATTATTGTTAACAATTTACATTATATATCAATTATTGTGTTGTATAACACCTATTTCTGAGTTCCGTCAATACTATTTTCTGATGAGCCATATTTAATTGGCTTGTGCAATATGAATCATGTTTATGATTGGCAATTATCATATACGACACGGTATTTAAAACAATACCAAATACCATATATATATATATATATAATTCTAATTTAATAGTTAAAATCTTTAGTTAACTTTTACAAGAGGAAAACTTAACATCGTCGTAACATATTTGTAATTAAATCGAAACTGTTGAGCAAACTCTTTAGACAAATAGAAAGCATATACAAAGATTTGAATAAAAGAGCTACTTCATAATCTGGCAAACTCAATAAAAGTAATGCAGTCAGCGCCGAAAGATGATTTCGTGTCATACATGTTGCACGAGGAGCAGTTAAGAAATGGTATGGCGGTAAGCAACAAGTGGCTATAGTTAAAAAAACAAAACAAACTCTTATAATCATAATTTAAGGAGATTATTTTTGGATGGTTGCTATAGGTAAATTTATAATCAGTTTAATTTGGGCAGAAAAATTTACATATTGCTTTAAAATGTCATTCGCTAATTGTTTTGATTAGAAACTTTTCATAAGAGTTATTAAGTCATGCGCGCTCATCCACTAACTTCAGAGTCGCACGCACACAATTAAGGTGCAGAATATTAGATTCTGAGGTCGCTTAACATAACGTGGTGTAATCCTACCCTTTCAGAATATCTTCTAAGAATTAAGAATAATAAATTCAATAGAATTAATTCTTGTATTTGTAAGAGTGCGATAAGTCATAATGATAGGAAAGAAAAAGTGCAATTAGTTTTTAGTTTGTTTTCTGCTAAATTCTAGGCTGCTTGTGCTGGGATAACATTGAACTTGAAGTTAATGGATCCTTTTTGCCACTCGGTTAAGATAGTAACACAAACTGATAAAATAGTTTAAACACGTCACACTTAAATGGTTGTGCAACTGCAAGTAATCAAGAAAGGGTTACAGCCAAAAAAGTTATTTTTTTACGTAATACCTTTACAATTTCCTAATCTATCACGTTCAAAGTTCATAAACAATACCAGGCAATCTGAGAAAACAGAAGGACTAATTAAAAAATTGGTTTTCTAGAACACTTTTCAGTTACTTATGACATTAATAGGATAAGAACATTATATTACAAACAGATTAATTGTTAAATTTGGTTATTGTGAATGTGAAGGACCCAACTCTCCAAGTTAATTTTTTACTTGTGTATGTAGCTTGGATAGGCAGTGTAAAACATGGGAAGAAAAATGTAATTAATATGTTGGCTGCTGCCTCATGTTAATTCACATTCTGGTGCCAACTGCAATATGAACCTCTACATTTAACCAGGTTTATAATAGAAATCAAGAAGTCCTAAGTGATTGTATATTATAATTCTTAGGAAAACGGTCTGATGGTGTCATAAACTTGGATTTGAATATCTCTCGAATACAGTTATTATAAATGCACTTATTTTCAAAGAAATTCAGAGAAAAGACCAACAGATTGCTGAATTCAAACAAGCTATTATTGAATCATTGTGCAAAGAATCAGAAATTCATCAAACACAAAACACATTTTCTGTGATCAAACACACTTTAGAATCCTATGAAACCAGGGGTGCTTCAAACAGGAAAAAAGCAAATGATGCTCAGGATGCTACACCCCAATGGCAGAGAAGTAATGGTTGTATGGAGAAAATCAAAAGGACTAATAGGTTTCTACATGCTGTGTCAAATGTGAATGGAATCCTGCCTACTGGTTTGATTTTCAATAAAAGCCACTAACAATATTTACTATTTTGGCAGTAAAATAAAATTTCTGTAGGTGAAATATTTTTTCATAAAGTTATTTTTTTTGTTTGTTTTAGATGTGAAAAAGTTTTTCAAAACACATTTTTGTTATTTTTTTAGCCAATTTCAAAGTATTGTATAATTTTCTCTTTGAAAAATGCATTATTTTCTATGTTGGATATGGAATAATAGGTAATGTTATTTTGCTTTATTTTCCAAATGTTTTGTGTTGCATGAAGGGTAGCAAAATCACAATATTATTATGCAAACAAGAGCATTCATGAAGTGCCAAGAAGCAATCATTATTCTACAGTCAAAGGCCACAAAGAAACTTTATATATATTTTAAATATGGTCTGTGAACCACCGGAGGGTTGTAAGGCACATTACTAATAGTGCCATGTGACCCTCTGGCGGGTCACATGGCAGCCAATGTGTTAAAATTAAAATTTTATAATGTATATTTGTTTAGAATTTTTCAATTTATAATGCTGGAAATTCAAATAAAAAATAGTAGAGGAAATACAACCATCATACAACATAATGTAATTTCTTGCCAAAATTTGGTAACTGAAGAGGTTGCAGTGACATGGTTAATGGGTCAAGGACTTCTTCACAGTGCTTTTTATTTGTTTTTTAAAGTTACTTACTATATATTCATATATTACAAGTCAAAAATTAACACGGACAGTGGAAACCTTTTCCTCATTTGCAAAAAAACATGGAAAGTTTGGGCCTTCTCCTTCACCATAACTTCAAATTCAGTAAATTGTCTTGAAAAATGACTTTTATGATGCTTCTTGATGCTGAAGCATTCAAATCCAATGCTCTAAAGTTAAGTTCTATGTACTTACTATCAAGAAAAAAAAAACGCTTGAAGGAAGACCATGAATATGAAAGCAACTAAAGAGTAAGGAACATCCCAGACATGAATTGGACATTAAATCCTTTCCAGACACGTGGTCGCCAAGCTAAAAGAGTATTTTAGCAAGTCAGTCAAAGGAAGAAACAGTTAAGTTACCAAATTCAAAAAGATGTCATTAGTATCAGTCCAAAAAAAACAACAAAAAACGTAAGAGGATGGAGAAAGGTACATTCCCCAGAACTCGATACCAAAAAAGATAAACGAAAACCTAAGGAAAGTGAAAAAAGTAAAAAGTTTTAAAACATTCTGAATAACATTTTAGGCAAATTATCAAATTTGAAAATGCCAACAAAGACTGATACTGTTAAAAATATTTAACTGTTAAAGGCCTGGTTAGTCTTACTGAATGTGTTAGAGCATGGAAAATGAACTTTGATAGAAGTGAAAAGAAATGCACTTGAGGTATATTTGGAAATGCTTTCATTCTGAGTGAGAGGAGAGAAATATGTTTATGTACTGAAATTGTGGAAGATTAGATCTAGAGTTGGTCTTGGATTATACCTCTCGTTAAGGAATACATTTTTGAAATAGTTTACCTAATGATGAAGTATGTGCTATCTGTAGTTTTAATTATTTAAACATTTTTCTTGGATAGGTACATAGGTGGGAAGAGTTACATTTACTTTTGGCTTTGATATTTAGGATAGGACTTTTTGGTGGGTGAAATGGTAATAACAATAAGCAGAATGAATTTTTGTTACTTAGGTTACTGAACTGTATATTTGCTGATGATACTAGATGGTACCAATACTGATGAGTATGTTTCTCTAATGTATGAGATAAATGATTTTCATCTAGGAATGATTTAACTTCTGTTCTTTTCGTAGCACACTAAAATTATTTCTATAAAATATATACCAATTAACATAATCTATTGACAACAAGGAACTACTCAGTCTTTAAAGACTGTCCTTGCATACCCCACATTTGAAAACCTGAAACTTGAAACTCACCCTTTACTTTCAAGAAATCATCAATTTCCTACCTGAACTTTGGTAAAGTGCAAACCTCCACTATCCAGACTGCTGACAACATAAACTTATTTCATAAATCAGTCAGTGTGTTAGATAAATAAAATTGTCTTAAGTGGTTCTTAGACTGTTTTCTTCCAAATCTTAAACTTGTGTTCTCTTGTTGGGTTGTCTTTCAGAAGCACAAAGAAATCATTATCCTTTATCTTATTGCTCAACCAGATAATATTTTGAACTTCAAAGATCATCTTTTACCTTTTTTTTTTGATAGAAAATAAATTAAGAGATCTTAACCTGCCCCTGTAAGATAACCCTTACATCTCTGCAATCATCCAGAGCATATTTTCTGATAGAGAACTTACAATTATGTCAAAGTTTTCATTGATTAAACCATTTTTTTTCTCTTGTTAGTGGTACAGTTTCAAAGTCAATTGTCTTTACATGAATATATCCAGAAACATTGCTTCTGCACATTTTTTGATGGTATGAAGTTGATGCTCCCTGGTGGTCTCAGTTCTTTAATTCTGGAGAGTTTGAAGTATCTTCTTCCTTAATGCTTTGGGGATCATTAGTTGCATCACAGGTTTACTACAACATTTTGATGGTTCATAATGAGAGTAGAACACACCACTTGGCCTTATATCTCAATACACAAGTGTTAGATGCTATTTAGATCCCTTTGCAATGGTCACACTTCATCTTGCTGTAATCTGTGGTATCTTTCACTTGCTCTTCCTTGGATTCCTGATTACTTGTTTATTAAGTCCATCCAAGAGTTGAAATGTCACTGCCCAATGATTTATTATAACTGCTACAGCAATGATTTTGAGGATCAGAACATTCAGTGAACAGAAATGTTTTCATCAGTTTGTAAGATAATCTGTCAGTATTTTCATTCTTCTGACACTGGTGATGCTGTGCAGTGCAGTTGTATTCTTGTATCATTATTATCTTGTGCTCAGACATACTCTCCTGATTTTTTAATTTTTTTTAGATATTTCAGTGATATGCGCCACTTAAATAACGAATTTCCAACCATAGAAGGTAGTAGTAGTAGTAGTATTTAACAGTATTTTACTATATGTGGAAACAGTTTTTTTCATTCTTTTACAGATGTTAACATATGAATCATATAACTTGAGAAACATTAATTGGATTATGGTGATAAATATTGTTAGTAGCAAGGTTTCCCAACTGATTAATCAGTACATTTAAGCATAATAAGTTTTCAAGTTTTTGTTTTATGACTATGAATATGTATAGTTAGAGTATTAATGTTAAATTAGCTATATTACTAGATATAGCTTTGATAAAGTGGTAATAATACTGGGCATTAATTCGTTCTATGCCATCCTATATCTCTGATATACTGCTTCATTCCTACCTTCACTGGAATCAGTATCCAAGATGAATGGGCAGTCTCAGTGAGAATAAGCCACCAATAGTATATAATCCAAAGCATTCTTTACAAACTTGAATGCTTGCATGCATTTGTGCATCTGCATAAATTTCTTATCCAACATAACCAATGCAGAGAGTGAGTAGGGGTGGCTGTCTAGGTTGTTGATAGAAAGACGTAGAACTTAAAAAGTGGTGGGCTTCTAATTTTTTTTTCATGCTGAAGCCAGTTCTTGAGCACTGTTATCTTTTGTAGGATCAGTGGACATTCCATCCCTGAACTGTCATTTGACCAAACAGACTTCTGAATGTGTACAA